AAGTAGCTGGTGTGCTAAATGCTCGTCCGACTCGAGCGTCCGCGGAGGGGAGCCGAGAGGGATTCCGCCGTGAAGAGAACAAAAAGGATACCGGTCCAGTCTGGAGTGAGCGGACAGGGCAGAAGCCAGAGCACAGTGCTAGCGTCAGGCGACGGAAACTCGCAAGGTCCGTCTGTGGGCAGTTAAGCTAGCAGAAGGCTCCGACGTGAGATAAGCTCTCAGGTGAGAAGAGGTTTTGAATTGAAGTGACCGTGATCCGCACACCCTTTAGTAGTCGGAGCTACGGGGCGTGGCGTAAGACGGGCACTTTCACCGGCCAATCAGGATTGGCAGATTGAGATAAATGCTTCTATCAGGGCTGCAGGAGGCTGCATCCCATAGCGAGACACCGAGTGAATATTATGAAAAAGAACACCATACATCAGATCAACCTCCCCCCTTCAATTATCCAATGGTGCAGTCCTGTACACACCTGCTTGGAGGGTGAAACTGCAGAGATGAGTGTTTCACAATATTTTAACCCTGTAATCCATGAATTTCCCTTTTATGAAGAGTTAAACAAAACAAAATATTGTAAAGTGAAATCAATGTACCTTTTTACAAAAATGAAAACAAAATGTGGCCAACCAAAGAACCACAATCCAAACAAATCCACCCAAAGCAACAAAAATAAACCAATGTAGAACCCCAGATGCTGTGTTTAGCTGCCAATTTGGCCAATATACAGGTAACAATGGCTCATTTTTACATTCTGATAACAAATAAACTCTAATCATCACATACTATAGACCTGTTTCTCGGATCTCGCATCTTGGCAGAGGAATTTCTTTTGCCGCACCTAAGCAAGCAGACAAGCTTATCTCTTTTGAATTGGAGTTAAATATGCCATTATACGGCTGCTCCAACAAATGTTCTGTCAAGCCAGACAAGACATCACTGAGATGATCATGTTTGTTTATTTACCCAGTGCATTTTACACCATTCATTCTGATTTGCTGAGTTGCAGACATCACCAATCACCTGGATCAAAGAGTACCAGACGAAGAGACCACAGTTTGTGAGACTAAATGGTCACATAGTGGTCCCAGGTAGTTAGCAGCACAGGAGCACCACAAATGATAGTACTTTCACAAGTCTATTCACACTGTACACCAACTTCCAGTTCAAGACTAAGGCACAATCCAAGCACAACAAGTTGGTAAGGACTCCTAAGCTAAAGCAGAGATACGTGAGCAGGCTGGTTGCTTCTTATATATACTTCATTTAACACAAGAGCCTTTTGATGCTCCTATCTAATGCTAAGGAGTTATACCATGTCCTACAATCTTTTGTGTGACAGGACATATGGGCACAGCCCACCCCATGGATTATAATTAAAGCACATTCTTTCTTTACATACACTGCGTGTGACAGACGCAAATGTGCATACCTTTTTATGTTTTGCGTTTTATAATGGAGGGCTTCATCCATTCTCTAAATTTGTCTTACTTGCCTTTTTCTAGTTCTTTTTCAGATTACTGTAATCCCACCTTGACAAGTTTCATCCATTTGTTTCTATTGCACAATGATGTCCATAAGGCCAAAGGCTATCTGGATATGGTACAGCAGTCTGGATTTACTTATCTACCCATGATAGAGCTCCCATTGTTGAACCCAAGAAGGGTGGAGGAATAGGAGCTTGGTGCAACAATTTGATATATTAAAAATCAGCTAGAGTCCTGTCATTTGCGGAAAAGAAGCAGATAACCAGGAGTTGGTGGACCGCTTTGTGACATGGTGTTAAAAACTGATCTGATGCTAAATGAGAACATAACAAGGGAGATTACTGTAGATTACCTTGGTGATCATCTGGAAAACTGACTCAATGGGACAGGGAGTCCAGAAGGAGGGGTAGAGCAGTTTGTACTTATGAAAGTCACATGTCCTTCAGTGTTTGCAACAAGATGCTGCATATCTTCCATTAATATGCTACAGTGATCTTTTTGGGGGTAGCAGTATCAGGAAAACTAAATCAAAGTAGCTCAACAAGCTAAGAAAAAAAAAGACAGCATAGTTTACACTTCTAAATATTCCAAATCCTGATGCATGAACAGCTGAAGGGAAAACATTCAGGATACAACAAAGAAGATCTCTTGGAAACACTCAGAGGGGAACAGAGATTATCAACAAGATGAAAACACTGGGGCTAGTAATGCTCAGAGGTTTGGGCAGCTACTGTAAAAGAAATCATTGCGTAGGTAAACAGATGATCAGCAGCCAGCTCCTAAAATGCGTCGGAAGATGATTCAGATAAAAAAACAGAGGTGTGCTGCAGTGATTAGCTAAGCACCACCCTCCAGTTAGCTGCAGCTTACAAAGAACACCACACAAACACAGAAAGACCATGGCGCCCATTAAGTGAAAGCTATCTGATTTAAATAGCACAACAAATGTTATCTCAAAATATTTCACCGGACAAAGAAATCGGATTTAAATCCATAAAAGTTTAATGAAATCAGCATCATCATATAACAAGATTTGGATTAATTTGCATGCCTTTAATTTATTTGAATATTTAGATTTGCATCGGTTTTGATGCTTAGTATCAATGCCGTAAATATCGGTAAGCAGAGACTGCAGTTGCTTAGGGGCCCCCGACCTCTTAGGGGCCCCATCCCTGACTTCTGTTAGGCCCCCTATGCAATTGTGGACTAGGAAGTGTCTTTGCAGATGTAATGGTGGGAAAAATTCCTCTTAAACCCACCTGATATTAGCTTGACTGACCGGACCTTATTTATACCCCATGATGGGGTGTTGTACTTCGTATGGGGAGCATCCATATAATGTTGATTACGGGCTTATTGTTGTGTCGTTACAGTAAAGTAAAGTTAGCTATCAAAGAAAACTTAGCCTTTTGATTAGCCTTTAGGAGTTAATTGCCCAATACCTGCATTCTGCCCTTACATACTTCAATCACTCGTTCCCTATTAGGGCTTAAGTGCGAAGTGTGTCCCAATTCTCCAGAGCTATCTTTGGCCACACTCCCTTTCCAACCTTGATCCACACTTGATCCACACCAAGTTTCCAAGTCCGGTTGATGATCTGCAATTAAAAGTCAGTATTCATTAAAGATTAGTGAGTAAGTGAATTTAGACTTACAATATTAGATGTTAATGGTAATTTTTAGAATATTTAACCAACCTAAATAAGCATATCATAAGCTTTTATGTATGGAATCACAGTATAATATAATATGTAAAGCCATATCTCCTACCTTAAACTTTAATTAATCAACACCTCTCTGTTTAAATCCCTCACATTTTCCTGAGTTTCCAAAATGAAATATAAATATTTAGAATGTATACTTGATAATACATGTATGGTTTAGTAATTAATCTGTCAGTAAAGCCTTTTTAATTCAATGAATATAATTAAGGAATATTCACACAAAAAACACCACATTTAGGAAGGGTAACCTGAAATGAATGTAATCAACAGCCCATTTCTCCAATTTAAAATCCCAAACCAAATATACCTTGGTAATGAAATTTAAAAAAGAGCATGAAATTTGAAATAAATGCTTATGAACATTAACTTGAATACTTATGCATTGCCAATATTTCCATTCCCTTTTCTTCTTTGCAGCAATGGTTCTGGTAAAATTTTAAATTGGTACATGGATTCTACATTTCACTTCTATCTGTACATTTTCTGACATTCATTATTTCATTGCTGCAAAAGGAAAGTAGTCACATCTACTTAAACATGTTTTTGAATGATTTTTAGTTATCCTCTATCCAATCATTGAAAACAATGATTTTGATTGATCCAGATAGACTTGTTTTTTTAAGTTGTTTTTAATACTCTAATGTGTATTTTTGCATGCTCTCGCCACTTAAAGTATTTTTTTGTACACAATTAATATTCATGCTTGAATTTTACTCGTTTTTTTAACGTAAATTAGGTAGGAAAGGCTCCAGTGCCTGTGTTAAAAAATCGCTTTTTTTTTTTTTTTTTTGAGGTGTTATCTAAATTTTTTTATACTTTTCTATGCATGTGTAAATACATAAGGGGTTGCAGTTTAAAAATATATTTTTTATTAACATTACAAAAAAGAGGGATTGATCCTGTCACTTTCGATGTCTCCGCTATGATACGGGGCACAAATACTGTCCCAATTGTCTAAAATTTGTATGCTTGTTACCTGTGCACTAAAACTCTTGTACTTCATCAAGATGCACGCTTCATGGAGGGTCATAGGGTTTAGTTTGAGACAGGACAATTCTATATTACACACCAAGCAAGTGCTCTAAGTACAACACATTAGCTGCCTTTAAACAGAAATGTACTTGAAATACTCTACACTACTCTTTTTATTGCTAATCTATTTAACCTATAACCCTCCTGTTTAGTAATGTAGAGGTCAGTAGCCTTGTAATTGAATATACATGTAAAATGTTGGAGTTACTTCTTATCTTGTTAAAAAATGCTATTAAATTCCCTGAAATGTGTCATCAAAACAGCCATATTATGTTTGTGTGCATTTAGATGTACTAAAATAAAACTTTGTGTTAGCTTTTTTTTTTTTGCTTCCACAGAAAAAGTTCAAGTTAGAGACAGACAGACGGCCTCACAGTTGGTGATTGCATCATGTTGCCAGGGTTAGGAAAGGTCAGAGTGACCACATGCTTTCTAAGCAGGGTCTTCTCAGTGATCTGTCTCCAAAGTATCACATTGAGCCT